GAGGGCAGTGTCACTGGCCCTCATATGTGGGATCCGAACCGGGGCCCTCTGGCGTCCCAAGCCAGTTCTTAACCATCGCGCCACTAGGCCGGCCCAAAGCTTATTTTTCAATAGCTCAAAATCCACTTTGATGCTATTCAATGCATAGGTTTTTAAAGTTATAAAACCAAATTCAATATATACAAAACCTTAATTTTGTACTCACATTTATTTCAGTTTAAGAGATGCATTACTATATTTGAATAAAGGTGTTGGTCTGAGCTTGGACCTTAACTTAGTTTGTTAGGAAGTGAATCAGATATTTAATGCTCATTTATTTAAACTGCTGCTGCTTTTGTCAGGCTAGCCATGCTGTGCTTAAAAGTTACCAGAATGCCCCTTAGTCCAGCTTAATCACATCTTAAAACCGAGCCATTTGCACCAAAGATGAACTGGTATAGACATTAGGGATGGGTGGTTGACATACCTCCCTTCTCCCTCTTAGAAAAGTCTATTCTAACAATCTGGCATTGATAGTGTGGCAATATCATCCTCCTACATGAAAGGACTTGTAAACAGTAGACATGAATGATAAAAATGTGATTCTAGACTTTTTAAAATAAGGAACTACAGAGCCGGCCGAGTGGCTCACTGGTTAAGAGTTGGCTTGGGACGCCAGCTCTGAGCAGCAGGTCCGCCGGTTCGTATCCCACATGAGGGCCAGTGATGCTGCACCCTCTACAGCTAAGATGGTGAACAACAGCTCGACCTGGAGCTGGGCTGCTGTAATTTGCCAGCGACAACATAGGTTGCAGTGGGGCTACCGTGGGCTGCTGTGAGCTACCGTGGGCTGCCATGAGCAGCCGTCCAATGGCCAGCAACTAACTGCCTCACCCGGGAAGAGTGCAATGATCACAATACCAACATGGGCCAGTGAAGTGATGTCCTCGACAACTAGACTGAAGAACAAAAGGATAGCAACTTGTCTGTTCCCCTTCCCCAATTCCCCAATAAAATCTTTAAAATAAATAAAAATAAAATAAGGAACTACAGTAAAACCTTGGTTTGCAAGCATAACTTGTTCTGGAAACAAACTACTCGTATTGCAACACATCGCTCGTTTACCACATTAAAATGTATTATAAATGTTTGCTCGTCTTGTGGAACACTCGCAAACCACATTACTCGCAATCCAAGGTTTTACTGTATTTCTCTCTTGCACACTCATTCAGTGTAGCCCAATACGCTTAGTAGCCAAACCTGAAACAGTAAGTAGAATTTTCTGTTGTACTTAGTTCCTAAACTTGTGAATAAACAGAAAGGCAAGTTCTTTGTCACTGAGGTCATTTTCACAGTACACCATGAAAAGTTTCGTTCTTTTTTTTTTTAATTGGGGAATTGGGGGATGGGAACAGACAAGTTGCTGTCATTTTGTTCTTCAGTCTAGTTGTGGAGGACGTTGCTTCACTGGCCCAAGTTGGCACCATCATTGCGCTCTTCCC